TGGCACTCCGCTGCCCTGGGGGGCAGCCATTCCCCTCAGAGCCCCTTGAGAAGGCTGCGCAAGCACCGCCGCCTCCCCCAGCTGCCGTGATGGAGCCGGGCTCTGCAGCATGGCGGCCACGGGGGTGCCTGTGAGGTGACAGGGGTGAAAAGCACCCGTCCCCGCTGTGCTTCCCTCGCCAGGGGCCTGCGGTTGGTCTTTATAGCTGCTCCCTGTCACTGACTGAGAGATGGGAGCCACGTGTCCTCCTCCTCCTCCACAAGTGGAAATCCCAGCTACAGCTTGCCTGAGGATCACCAATTCAAGAATTAACCACACTAACACCCCTCACAGCCAATTAACTCCACAAACACTGATGGCCCCTGGTCACCGCCTCGCCTCCTTCGCCAGTCTGTAAAGCACTGGGCCCCAGCCGGTGCTGTTCATCACACACCCCCAGCAGTAAAAACAGAGAACCACAGAATGGGTTGTGTTGGAAAGGACCTTGAGATCATCCAGCTCCAACCCCGGCAACAGGCAGGGACACCTTCCACTAGAGCAGGTTGCTCCAAGCCCCTGTGTCCAACCTGCCCTTGAACACTGCCAGGGATGGGGCAGCCACAACTTCTCTGGGCACCCTGTGCCAGCGCCTCAGCACCCTCACAGGGAAGAGCTTCTGCCCAAGAGCTCATCTCAATCCCCCCTCTGGCAGGTTAAAACCATTCCCCTTGGCCTGTCCCTACCATCCTTAACAAAGGGTCCCCCTCCAGCATCCAAATATTCTGAGCATGCCCCCTCAATATCCCCGTGTTTGGTTATTCCTAAATCATACGCTGCGTTTGTATTTTCTTTGGGGAAGCCTGCTATAACCATCATCACCAGGGCAGCGGTCGGTGGTTACCCCCACACGCTGTCAGACATCAGGCACAGCTTCTTCCACACAAAGCCCCCCCATTCCACACACATGCCCACCCCCAGCTGCCCGAGAGCACCAGCAGGCAGCAACGTCTGCGGGGCTGAACTTAGCATTAACCAGGTGAAAAGCACCTCTTCCAGCACGAAGCGCTCCTGCTCCCCAGCGTTCAGCTGGGAAGTGCTGAAATGATGTCTTAATTGGGTTTTTATACCTGTTCTGCTCCAGTGCTGCTCCCACTGCTCCCAGCCTCCACCGACACCTCCACAGCAGCCTGGCTTTTTTGTCAGCTCAGCTTGGCACGGATGGCATGCTGCTGACAGCTTCTTTACCTGCTCAAAGCCTTCCTGCAAGCTCCTGTCTAAATGATGCTACCAGCTTTGTACTTCTCTCAGAGGCAACTGATGTGAGTAGTAATGATTCCCTCCCTTTTCTTTCCTTATTTCCTTTCACCTGGATTCCCCACCTTTTCCTCCTGTAACCAAGCCTCAGAGCCCTTTCTTCCCTCCTCCTGTCTCCTGCTGGTTTCAGCAGCTCATGTTTGTTCCTGGGCTGCAATGCCACAGAGGAAGAGCTCAGGTACACCCAGGATGGGCTCAAAGGTGGGCACTCTGCCTGGGATTCGAGCTCAGGATGTGGTGTGAAGTTAAGGCTCTACAGTTAAGACTATAGAGTGTGAAGTTTTAAGGTCCTATACAGCGGTGTGACAGCTTGAACCCCTTCCTCAGGGCCATAGTAGATGGTCTATGACCCAGAGGCTTCCTCACTCAGAGGGAAGAGCAGATGCCCTTGGGGACGGCATGTTTAGTGGAGAGGGGGGCTCACTGCTGCAGACCCTCATGCTCTGGGCTGGGAGACAACTGTCACTCCTGCCCTGCAAAAGGCTCTGCCTCAGCCACCACAGGCTCCTCTTGCTCATCCTGCATCTGTCAGTGTAAACCAGCAGGCAGACTTTTAATCTGAGCTCCCCTGTCATTTTTGTCAATGACTTCTCCTACAGAGTGAGGTCAAGCAGAACAATTTCATTTTGATATTGTACAGAATAAAAGCCAGCTCCCCTAACTACACTTGCATCTAAATCAATTTTAAATGAGTCCACCACAGCTGGAGTCTGAATCTGGTGGCTGAGTCCAGCTTTCCACTGCTGCCATGTGAAGTCCTACACAGTACTCTCAGCTAGTTTTGAGCCGTCTTCTTCCACCTGGTCACTTACATTGCCCTTAGAAGCCCAATTTGCAGCCCAAAAGGATCCAACATACGTGTGTAACGCTTGGGTTACTCCGAACTTTCTCACATTCACAATGGCAACTGCTGCGAGCACCAGAACAACAATAGTTATTCCAGTGATCCCAAAGAGCAACCTCCAAAGCCCATGTTTAGTGACGGGTGCAGGCCCACTGTCAACGCTTCCTCCAAATCCAACGTACTGGCAGTAGGGAGGTGCCCAGCCGTTGTCACAGTGGCAGTTCCCCTTGGTGGTGCAGACGCCCTCGGGGGACGGGGGGTGGGGGCCCCCCCAGCCGTTGTCACAGTGGCAGTTCCCGTTGGTGTTGCAGACGCCTTTTCCTCTGCACGTTCTCTTGGCAGAGCAGCGGGATGTCAAGTACTTCCTCGCTGGCACACAGGTCCGGTTAATGCAGATCATCCTCTCCCCGCACTGCATTCCATCCTTAACGAGACCGGGATCCAGAATGTCCACACCCAAGTGGTAGTCTGTGCCCCAGCACCAGGTATCCCCCACCGGGGTTTGGATGACGGTTGTGTGATCTTCCAGCCGAGGCAGACGTCTCACGTTCACACACTGCATCCTCCCGCACAGGACGTTTTCTAGCTTACATTTCTGAAAGCTGACATCTGCCCCATCTCCCCGGCAATTGCCAAACCGATCCCCCTTCATGTTCGTCTCCTGGAAGCATGACAGCGGAGCAGGCTTTGCTTCCTTACCGAAGATACTCATACACTGTAACGTGGGAGACTGGCATTTGCCTGAGTAACAGTACCCATCCTCAGCACACACAGTCCCGTCTTGCTTGGCCACATCTGCTGGGCAATGCTCAGATGTCCCGTTGCAATACTCAGGCAAGTCACACGGTCCAACACTCTCCCTACACACTTCTCCTTCTGGAAGAGGTTTGCAATTCCTACAGCAACGTCCGGAAGTGCAAAGGGCTCCCTTCCTCTGGCAGGCAATGTCACAGCAAGGGTCTGATTTACACATTTCCCCAGGCCTCAGGACACGATTCTTGCAGCGCCTCAGCGCAGATGTCATTACTGATTCTGGGACGTTATTAAGGCAGAATCCTCGCCCCGCTGATATAAAATCAAAATAGTGCCTTTTGCTGCAGTTGCTGAATTGATAGTTCACCGTGCCATTCACGCTCATGATGCATTTAGAGCTGTTTCCACACGTGCAGTACCTGTGGTCATGCGCCATGCCAAGGGCATACCCTAGCGCACGAGCGACGCTGACAGCAGTGTCCATGTAAGGCTGTTTGGCAAAGGACACAACAGCAGAGGCCCGTTTTTTATCACAAGCACTGCCTAGGTTGGATTTGCTACTGATGTGCAATCCACCTGTACCGTGACCAAAGTCCATCGAGGCAAACAGACACCCCACGTCATGCGTGGCGTACTTAAGGCTTTGCTTCCGCCAGTGATTAAAGTCATAAAGGGCCTTGGTTATGCTTTTGGTAATACTGATAGGGTTCTTCTCCACCCAAATCTCTAGTGCAGTTACCATAACACGAAGGCGGAAAGAATTAAACATCCCATCCACCAGATTGATTATTTCAATAACTTCCAGTGTCACATTAGTTATACTTCTGCCAAAGGCATCAAAACCTTCCTTGTCCACCACAATAAAGAGCTCCACATACCGTACGTGCGCCCGCAGCTGGAACTGCCCTTCTGCCTCCGTGCTAGGACGTGGAAACCGCCGACGTTCAACGGAGGTATCGTATATGTACATGGTTCCAGGAACCGCCGTGTCCCTCCACAACAGAAGATGCTGACCCTTGGTGGCACCTGGCAGGGGCTCAATGCTGTAGCTTGAGTTTCCAAACTGCAGCAGTCCTCTGAGGCCAGAGCAGACAGTCAGAGTCACCCCGGAGTCTGGGACGCCTTCCACGTAGCCATCGTAATAGCAGTGCTCTGGCACATGGGGCTGCTTGGCCTTCATTTTCCCATAGGAGTCACGAGCAAATACAGGGAAGTTTTTTATTACCAAGTCTTTCTGCCTGAGGCGAATCGTGTAAGTTATCCCCTGAATGTTGATGACATAGGACACTTCCTCCTGGCTGCCTTTCCCTGCATTGGGAGGGAGTTTCCTTGGAACGACTATCTCGTAGACTGCGTAGTCCCAGGTGGTCTGGGGGTTGCAGTCTGCACAGGGCAGCAGGAGCCCCTGCAGCAGGAAGGAGAGGCCCAGGCCAAGGAGGAGAACCCCTCTGCCCATTGGGGTGCAACTTGGCTGTGTCCACCTTGGAGCCATGCTCATGCCCTCCCTGGATGGACGAAAGGGTAGAAAATACAGATGATGAGACATCGGAAAAGCTGCTTTTAAGCCAGCAAGAGAGATCCCTTCTCACCACCTTCCCTCAGAGTCTGTCCTCTTCTCCCTGCTCAGCCTGCAGCTAGGTTCAAGCCCTTCATCTAACATGTCTTTTCTTAGCTCTTCCTCAGCTACCTGTCCACTGGAGAGGCAGGACACACTGGGAGGCAGCCAGCCTGCCATCCAACACCATCCAACTGCAACAGAGCGAAGCAGCACAGGGAAAGACCTGGCACAGGGTGGGAAGCCAGGGAAGAGTTGCCCTTGGAGCCGGAATGGAAGGGCTGGGGGGTGGGGTGGGGGGGCAACCGTTTCTCCAGCCCCGCTTCAAACACAAACATTCCATGGGGAGGGTGGGACCCGCGCCTTGGCAAAGGCAGGAGCAAGCAGGACATTAAACATGCCCTGTCACTAAGAGCCTGCTGCACCCTACTCGGGCTGACCCCATTTGCTGAGAGCTAGACAAGCCAGTGCTGCTACAGCAATTTGTTTAAAAGGGGATTAAGGCTTCCTAAGTGGAAAGTGATGGGAGATTACCAGGGAAACAATGATCTGGTTGCTAATGGGACCTTCAGCTGCAGCAGTGAGAGCCTTCAGTGTCTGTTGACAGATGCCCTTGCAGGGCTCCTCATTCAGCTGAGGACATCACTGAATGTTTTAATTCTTGAGGGGAGTTTTGTTGCTGGAAAAGGAGAAGCATTCTTTGGGAGTAACGGAGTCTTTCTTGTGCTGCTTCTACAGAGCTCGTGCAGCAGCTGGTTTGGCTGCCTTAAATATTCCCAGGAAACTGCTCTCTGACTCCCCTTCCCAATGCTATGGATGCTCTGAAGGTCACTGACTCTCCAAGACACTTATTAACTCCTTAAAGGTACCAAGCAGACGGATGTTAACTCCTACAGGGAAGGGGCACACGGGCACTTGCAGCTGTCCCACTGCCTCTTTTCAGTGGCAATTTTGTTCCAAAATGCTCATATGACAAAGGACTGTCTGGTTCCTGTCAACGAGCCAGTCAAACCATGCTTGAGAATAATTCAAGTATATCCAGAGCCAAGAAGCACATAGTGCCATGCTTGATGGCACAAATCTGACTGCTGAGGAGAACCCCAGCACTCTCCAGCAAAGCGTGCTGCCAGCCTGAGCAAAGGCCAACCCATTTCTCACCTCCTGCTGACTCCCCAGCTGCTGCTCCTGCCCCAGGTCCCTGCAAGGCTCCTGCTTCAGCCACCTTCAGTGAAGCCCAGCACCCTGCAATTATGGTCATCCTGAAGAAACAGGTTCCTGGCTCCTGCCCCAAAGAACACACTGGGCAGGATGGAGGAGCCGTTTATACCCGACAGGGGAAATATCATGGAACACAGAACAAGTCATCCCTCCCTTCCCTGCCTGCCCAAAGGCATCACTACAAGATAAATCCTACAGACCTTGTGGGGTTCACTGCTAGCACTGGGCATGTACTGCTGCCATCTAATGGAAAACAATGTGGAAAAGAGGCATTTCAGGTTATGTTGCCAGGCAGAGAACACTATTTCTAGGGCTTTATCCAACTCATCCTGTCAGTCATTCTTTCATCTCAAAGCCTCATGGCAACTCCTGCAGAATACAAAGGAAAATGCTATTCACATTGGTAAGGCAGGTGGGACGGGGAACTGGAAGGTGCTGTTCCCTCCAGGCCATGGGTCTCCTTCCCTCTTTCTGTACCACAAGGACTTGGGAACCAAACAAAAGCAGCCAGTAAGTTTTAAGTTTAGTAAAATCATTTATATACACCAATGCGTAATATTTACAATATAATACTGATCCAAAATAAACTAACATATTACAGATAACACTGAAAAGGAGAAATGAAAACATTTTAACACCAGAAGTTCAACATGGCAGATGAGGACAGACTTGGGTTTCCAAATTAAAATCTGAAGTAGTGACAGCAAAACTTTGACATGTTGCTATTTCCAATCAAAAACTCTTTCACCTAGTCAAGTTCTTCTAACTCTTTAATACATACACATAACTTCAAATAATCAAGTCACAGGAGAAGTCAGATATACAGAAAATTTTGGAAAGGTCAAATGATTTCAGAGATTTTTCTTTCAAATTAAATTCTAAACCCAACCAAAACCAACCCAACCTACAGCTTTCCCACATCCTTTTAGTGTTTGCACAAAGAATGTCTTCTTTGAACCCACACAACCCTTCCTTCTTAAGATATTTACAATATTCACAGTCTGCTATAAAGGATCAGTAGATTTATCACCAAGTAAAACCTCACGTAATCAGGACAAGGTATCTTGCATTTACGTCAACTGAAAAACTAACAACACCATGGGAAGGAGAAAGTAAAATCCCACTTTCAAATACGTAAAAGAATCCATTAAAGTGTAATTTTGAAATGTAAAAACCATGCATTTTTAAAGAGAAAAAAAAAAAAAAAAAAAAATCAACCTTACAAAAATAAAACCATTTGACCTTGAATCTTCAAACTAATTTCTCAATCTGTCCCTCCCTACCTCCATTTTCAACCAGGCCATTCTTACTCACCACAGACAATAGAATCTATAGTAAATCCACAAAAAGCAGTTCCTTACCACAGAAGCCCTTAGAAACTTGACTTCCCTCCAGCACCAGAACGCTTTGCAGTCAGTCACAAATGCACCCACCTCACTATCAGCAGCTTGGAATGATCCTGTTGTGTCAGTTAAGGGACCATGAGGAGGAAGGACCCTCTAATGCACTCAGATCCCACCTTCTCCACCTGGATGTCAGCAAGCTGCAGTCACTCCAACGTGCTCCCTGCTGTAGGAGCCATCTCCTACAGACACAACAGCATTCAAGCATCTTTAAAGAACCCTACAAGAGGTCCCAGTGTGTTACACCCATGTCACAAGGTACTTGGATTGTATCCCTAGCCTCTGCTGACCACACTGTGCAGTGACCATGAGAGCAGCTACAATCTGATCCACTTTTTCTGCTAACACGTTCTGGCTCCCAAGAAACTGCCCAAGTATTTTCCTCCTCGGAAAGCAGAGTTGAAAAGTGCTTTTGTAGGGAATTTTTTGCACTTCCATTCAAACACAAGTGATTTCCTTGATCATCTCTCCGTTTGCCATACTTAAAAGTTCCAATAGAATAAGATCTCTCAGAACAAACCCCACAGATTTCAAGTTAAAAAGGAAATGATCTGTTGCATTTAAAGATTGTGTGGATGTTGACATGACCTAGAATTTAGGACAAGGACAGAAACGCATATAATAGGGCCTGCAAACTTGCTGATACCACCGAGAACTGGCAAATACTCTTGTCTCTTGCTAATTCTCTACAGTTGTCATCGATACGTATCAGTGCACAAATATTCCATGTAGTGTCAGAGGTACAATTGTGGCTTACACAACAACTCCCTGTTTCCATCAGAGAAAAGTGATGGTTACACAGGGACTGTGGTTCTCACTCTGCAATAAATCAGGCATTGGAAAATTGTCAACAGGATTAAAAGAAAGCTGACAAGGTGCTGACAAAGAACAGGGAATGAACTATCTATCTATCTCCTTCATGTAGAAAAACTAAGTTACTGCTTACAAAATTTCATAGAAAGAGTCAGACACTGGTTTGCCATCCAAGCTAAAGGTTGCAAGGAAGTCTGGTATAGAAAAAAGACAACAAAGAACAAGGCTGGACTGCTGTAAGAGTAAGTTGGGAGATTCATGGCTCAGGTTTGTAAACGTAAACCCAAAATTAATGAGCTATGAAATATAACAATAATGTTCAAGAGTCATTACTTAATAGCCCTGAATTGGCACTTCAGTCTGCAGACCAAACTCATTCAACGTCTGCACAGGTTTAGTACCAAAATATCTCTATAAAAAGCCTTCGACCGGTCTCAAAGGAAAGAAAAGCATCAGAAGGTAGAAAACTAGAAATATGTACAGATTCTTTTCATTTGTTTGTTTCATCAAGATTAAAAAAGCAGCTTTTGGAGCCAATGTTCCAGACTGGTGTAAGAATCTGCCCTGCTGGTCCAGGCAGCAAAAGGACGTGTGTCAAGGAGCAGCCCTGCATCTATTGCTCCCCAGGAGGAGCTCAAAGGCATCAAAGAGATGGGGAGCTCGGACTCCAGAGGGTGACACAGAGAAGGATCACAAGTGGATTCACACAGCAGCAACATGACCCTTGCCAGGATGATCTCTTTCAAACAAGAGGACAAGTCTGAAACCAAGTGTTGGATCTCCTAGAAAGGAAAGAATAGAGTACACAGGTGGAACGCAGACAATGTCTGATCTGGGGGTGAAGCAAATGAACCCCATACTTGGTTTTGTTTGTAGAAGATCCCTCCACAAAAATAAAAGTAACTTGTACATAAGTAACTAGAACATTCTTCTGTTCTGCTGTTGAACAACATGTTAAAAGGAGGAGTCTTGAGCTGAATGGCCAATTCAGCCTTAAAAAAGGTCTGAGGAAGATGGAGAAGAAGAAAAAGTGGGTCAAGCCTTAAAGACGGTCTGAGGAAGATGAGGAAGAAGAAGAGAGGGCTACTGATCAGAACTGAAACAGAGCACATGGACTGAGGTGCCCTTGGCAAGGCTAGTGAAACAGAAGGCTATTTAGTTGCCTCTACAGAAAGACTTGGGATTTCGGTGCAAAGGGCAGCTATGAGGTTTGTGTTCTGCAGCACTTGCTTCAAGTACTTACTGAGCAGGGTGTTGAGAAACTGGCTGTCTCGTTCACATACATAGTTATTGCAGCTGGCTGTACGTATAGCAGGTGGAAGGCAGCTTCTGCAACTGGCTATTAAGAAAAAGAATGGTCTTTAACAATATAATCTGCCCCATTTGAAGGGGCCTCATGATTAACAGTACGTAAGTGATCATATATACCTCAAGGAACTGAGTTTTAAAAAAATATTACAGTACCAATGATTTTCTTTTTTGTATCTACAACTATACAGCATCTTCAAGCAGTATGGAAATTTAATGAAATAATTATGATTTATTAATTTACATAAAAATACTTTTTACAGTTAAAGAATAAATCTTAAATGGTAAAAAAAATAAGATTAAGAAGCTCCAGCTATTGAGAGTCATGGGAGTTTGTCTGCTCTTCGATAACTTGTTTTACTATCTCTGCCAGTTTTAGTCGATCCACTTTGTCTGTGAATCCTCTGCCTGCAAGGAAGAAGAACAGGACATCAGCTGGTGCTGGGTACAAGGAGGGAAGCAGTTGTGGCTGGAGTTACACACGGACCGAACACAAAACTGCTTCACACAGAACATTAGGAGAACATTTGCAAGGGAACCAAAATGAGTTACGATCTCTAGGTCCACTGAAAGAACTGAGCACTTAAAAACCTGAATTAAACCCAACCAAAACAGAATGAGGGAAAGGCACAACCAAGCCCTCGTGAACCTGGCTGATGCCTCTGTTTCCTTTATATTCATCAGCATCTGCTCCTGGGGCTGCCACCTTTGCCCCCCCAGCTTTGTCAGCACTCTCCAGGCAGCTGGCCTAGTTTAATTCCATTTCCTATCCAAAGCAAGCAGATGTGCTGACACAGATGAGGGCAGCAGCCTCCAGCAGAAAGAGGGTAATAAACAGCTGGAAGGAAACCAGCTGAAAACTGCTAACGCAGTTTCTAAAGTGATGATCCACTTACGCTGTTATGTTCCTACATGATTTGGTTTCTTTGAAGACTCTGCCCTGAACCTCAAATAGAAATGTTAAAGCTGAACTTTCTACGTCATTTCTAGAACACCTGAGCTGGCTGAAATAGTGTCAAAACCTAAACCAGTCTAGCACAAATTCAGGACATTTGGGGTTATTTCCATATAAGAAGGTTACTGCTTCCCCTCTTTCACGCAGCGCCATCACCATTCCCCATGAAGAGGAGGAGTTCCTCACCATTCCAGCTGAAGCTCTGAAGAGTGTCTCGCAGCAACTTACACTCTCGATTATACTTCCACGCCTCCTGCATCACTTCGTTCAGCTTCTCATCTTCATTCTCTCCTATTGAAGAGACCAGAGACAAACAGGAGGTTTGTCATTCTGCCTGTAAACACTTTGTGCAGTTAACCCTCCTCACCTCACACAAACTAGGAAATCAGTTTGAAAGCAGACACTCCTGTTTGGAAGTTATTTTAACATCTCTGCATGTCACTCTTGACACTAATATTATGCATGCACCAAAATTACAGTCCACAGACAACACTTTCCCCTCCAGACTGGCTAGGACAACAGGAATTCTATTTATCCTTCCTCACCACTGACACAAACTGATCTCGAGGCACAGTAAAATGTGTTAGGAATGTAACTTTTATCTTAAAAGTGGCAACCTTTACCAGCCTGTGGTAGAATGCACTGAGCAATCACATCTCTCAGCTTTTCCAGAGCCACATTGGAATCGTTACTTCCATTCTCAGGGTCATGGATATAAACACCATCCTTTGGCTTAGTGCTGCAGAAGAACAAGGAGGAAACAATTACAATTTGAATGCATCTCAAGTCTGTTACTCATTGCATAACTGCACCAGTATAATGGTCTCTTTCACTCTCTGGAAAGCTGGGAATGAGAGCTAGACATAGTATTTATTATAACAATGTCCTATATTATGAGATCCCTTTAAATATGAAGAAAAATAAATATTCCTTTAAATTAATACAAGTAAGGGTAATCCTAATTGCATTATTCTATTTTTCAGATAAGTAACTCAAAGAGAAAGACTACCTGACTTTCTCAGTAAATAAATGTCAGGATCAGTAGAAACTCTTGGAATTTTCTCCCAGTTTGCCTTACCTTACCCAACACGTGACCCATCTTCCTGCAAGGGATCTGTTCTGCTACCTGTATAATACAATAACACTATCCAACTCCTCGCTGGCATGTCTTGGAAAACACACCATCTTGTGCAAGTATTACCTGACTCCAACTACCCACTTCAGCACAAAGTGTGTGTCAACCAGACCAGGAATTCAGGAGCACGGTTACAATTACCCCAGTAACTTCCTTTTGCGCAGGATTGGGTTGTTGACGGAGTGAAGGGGTTTGAGACTGACTTTCAGGTCCTGGATCCTCATGTTCGCAAGCTGCTCTGCATGAGCCTGTTGTATCCCTGCAACCATTGCCTGCAATGAGGAGAGTTGCACTTGATGTTTTAATTAGCTTCTTTGTGAATGAAAGAATCCTATTTATTTCAGAGATGCACAACAACCATCAGGTTTACATTATGCAGATTTATAGCCCAAATTTCAAATGGAACCTTTCTGTTTTCTTAAGAGAGATCTCAGGCTCTCATTAAGGCAGAAGGGGAGCTCCTTATCTGCACAACATCACATGAAAGGAAACACTCAAACCACCCCAGGGTTATCCAGCTCTTCTAACCAACATTCTTGATAGAATAAAATGTTGTTTAGACCTTGTCCATCATCATCTGGGCAGAGGGGAGGATGTTATCAAGTGCCTCGGTGGAGTTGAGCCAGGGATGGTCCAGCACACCTTCAATGGTCAGTCGTTCCTCAGGTTTGACCTTCAGCAGCCTGGGAGAGGAATCAGTCAGTCCATAAGGAGGTCTTTGATGATTTACAATGTGCTGCTCTGTTTGGAGTCAGAGCACTCAGCAATATCTAAGGGTTAGAGGGGCTAAAAAAGAAACTCCTCCTAACAACTAAACCACTAAGCTTTCTACCAGCTTCACTGCCCCTCGCTGTGGTGATATTTTAATGCTACCACAGCTCATTCCGTTATATTGAGCAACTTGGTGTAGGGCCACTTCAGTAATACCTGTGTGCTGCTGAACTCTACATTCACATCCTCCCAGACAGGGAAATTATCCTCCAGGTGAACTGGAAAAGATCCAGACCAAGACTCTCTGGAAATGCCCATCTAGAGCTCATCCATGTAACAGGCTATACTCATACCAAGGGCTCTGGGCATGAAGCAAGGCAGCGTTTCAAAGTTGGAAACCCATCTGCTGAATTAACAGCTTTCACCATGCAACTCCTTAGCTTTTCTCCCCCTGCAAAACCATCAAGTAACGGCCACTTTGGCAGGCTACAGCACCTCAGAATAAGAAGGAACTTTGAGATCTCTGAAAACTCCATGGAATTACATTTTACTAGAATAAAACCCTGGACAGAGATTTTGTCGTTAAACTGATGTTCTCATGACAGTCACAACTGCTTAATAAAAACAGTAAAATCTCACAGAGAGTGCTGACAAGTTATCCCCCCAGTTCAAATTAGAAACAGAACGACTTGATGAGTTCATCAGACAATATTTGAAATCAGCTTCCTGGCTGCAGAGCAGAATTGTTCAATGTACCAAGAAAGTGGAAATAACTTTCACCAAATGTCAGCAGGACCACGGGCTAGCTCAGAAATCTCACTTGCAAGGCCATGCTGCCAAACAGGTCAGCTCTGATACAAGACCCAAGACACATGCATTCCTTTCCTATGGGTTTTCAAAGTCCTAACCTATTATCAAAAGCACTCCAGCTTGTAAAGCTTGAGGTCAGAAATCAGCTCGACATGCTTGAAAGGAAGCAGCTGGTTGAATGCCAAATATGACCTCCAGAAGCAAGACTCCATATGAATAGCAGTCCACATAAATAAAATGTAAATGCATCCCGAATTATATGAAGTCTAAATGTATTGCTGCACCATAACCAGATTCAGACTCACTGGCTGGAAAAGACAAGCAGGAAAGGGAGTCCTGATAACATTAGTGAGAGAATTAAGTGAACTGAATCCAAATAACATCGTTCTGTGAGCTGAGTTTCATGGCCATTTTAAAAGACAATGAAACCTATTGAGTGTGGAGCTTCTGAGTGAGAATAAAGAGTTGACCTTGGTATAAATGGAAGTTTCACTGCAACGTAACCTGCAGTTTATTGGGTGCAAAGTTGTGCGCTCTCCTGCACTGCTAGAAACGGGTCCCAGCTCCCTTTCCAGACAATGTCAAGTCCTTGGAGATTTTACACTATGTCAGAGGAGACAGTGACATTTTAAACTTATTTAATAGATTGATTTTTTTCCATTTATGTTGCTTTTATCCTTCCATTTCCTCTGCTGATCCAAGCAAAGGGAGAAAGTCCCTGGCACATTTTAAGAAACAAGTGAGGTCAAGACCTAATCAGTGCCACATTCTTGCCTTCAAACAGGACCATGGGATCAGTCTTTGAAACATTTGCAAGCCAGAGATGTGCACTGCATGATACACAGTTGCCATAAGCATTTAGAGTAAAATACCAATGCAAAACCTTATCTCATATTCTGACACCTTCTGACAGAGCTTCACCTCCCTTTCCATGCCTCTCTGACTCCTTTCTGACTACGTGCACGGGGTTTTACAGGACAGATCCACCAGATCCTATTACACCACCTAAATGCTCCCTGAGTCTAACAGGAGTATAAACATTATCATTGGAGATACGTGCCTAGAGACCACTTGCAGATGTGGCAACCAGTTGCCTATATTGCTCTGAATCAAGGCCGTGTACTCATCCCCCTTAAAGACTAAACACACGACCACACTCTAGCAGCTTCAGAGACAGGAGACAGCAAAAACTGAACACAACAATTGGGGAGGAAAGAGAGAGGGAAAGAAAAATATTTACCAGACTTCATTTGTGCTAAATATGACAGAAAGTTTTTGAGCTGCACGTGCTGCAGACAATCCCCCCGCCTTTGGAAAAACAAGCCCTTTGTGATAACTCAATTCCAAGTGATTGTCCAGTTTAATATAAGAGCAATGCAACATTTTCCTCAACTGACTCACTTTCGCACAATGTCTTTCGCCATTTCTGAGATCTGGCTCCACTCTTCCTCTGGAAATTCAAAACTTCCTGTCATGATCTTTTTCCGCATGTCCTTGGGAATTGTCCGACTGTGGTGTTTGGAGTAAAACGGAGGGTATCCACACAGCATCACGTAAATAATGACACCCAGGGACCACAAGTCACAGCTCTGAAAGCAAGGAAACGATCACTTTGGGGCGCAGTTTGCAGCAAGCAGTGGTGTAGCTACATTGAAAGCTCTATGTGATTCCCCAGGAAAACAGAAACACAGCTCGGCCTCCTCCTAAAGGTCCATCTGAGGACCTTCATGGGTGAATATGGCAAACAGGTAAGCACCAGGTAACTCCAAGCTGCCAAACTAAACTACTTCCAGTACCCTAAAGCAGCTTGTTTACAGAACTCCTGTAACTCTGGGCTGCACAATGGCAAATTGCATGGACACAGCCAGTGCGTCAGCGGCGTGAGCAAGCGGCACATTTAGTACCTCTCTCAGGATCCTTCAACCCTGCTCTCCCAATATCAGCACATAAACCAGAATACAGACATTTTTGAGAATGTGAGACTAAAAATAGAAAGACTATCGAACAAATGAGCTAGCAGAGATGTCTGTAGTCAAAACCACACATCCTGGAAGCCAGGATATGGATAAGCTTCAGAAAGGCAGGAGCAGTATTTCATGCTAAGCTCTCTCCTGTCCTCCCACTCCAGCCTGGAGCTTCCTCCCCTGTCCTTGCACTAGTGTTCCTGCTGGTGTGATACACACCAAGTTCATCCAGGAGGTGGATCCAGCCAAACACCAGCTCAGTGAAGAAGGTGAAAGCCACATCTAGTCCCCATCTGGATCACATGTGGATGCTGATAACAAAAGAAACTCCAAGGAGTTACCCCCATATACACGCTTTTCAAGAAGTTAAGCCAATCTCAGATGGCTCCAGAAGCCTGAATTTCTGTTTAGGTACCTAAATTCTCATCATTTTTCCATGGACCAGAAATAATTTTTAATGAAATCAATGGGACTTAAGGCATGTAAGTAGGAAACATATTTAAGTACTTCATGGATATGGTTCTCAGATTCTATCTCTCAAGACTCAAACCCCTCCAGCCACAACATACACACTCAAATTCGATCCAAAACACACACAACTTAATAAAAACACTCAAGAATCAAAGATAGGGTTTTTCTCCTCCAATTTAAACCTGTGGGAGAGCACTTCTGATCATGAAGGTGGATCACAGGCATTTCCACCCAGGCTCAGAGTGGCTGTGGAAGGACAGTGTACCTGGAGTCTAGCACAGTCTATTTTGGGGAACCAGAGTTTGCCAGATGCTGCCTTTGCAGTGAGTCACACTTGGCAAGGTAAGGATGAGGCCACTTCTTTCAGCAGCCTGTCCAGTTAGTGCCACCATGGCCGAAAGCAGTTCGGAGCAACTGGTCAATTCTTTAAATGAAACATGAAAACAAACCCACTGTTTCACATTATACATCCCAGATCAAGGCAACTGAACCTCCTCAGTACGTGAGTTAACTCCAGTAACTGTTTTCAAGGTTCTTCTATTCTGTACAAGAATATGACCCATATTTTGCTTCAGGTGCCATGGCCAGAGTTCTTTGGTTCATTAAAAGAATAAAACAGCTGCCAAACTGTTACCAAAATGAACAATGATCAACCACTTCGAGGGGTCTCTGGAACTGCATCTACTCCCTCAGAGGGGCTGTTACTGGAGAGTAAATCTGCTTCAATCTCCAATTCTTGACCCTGCTTTGAGACTTTCAAAATCTATACAAACAACTTTCCCTGTGACTGGGGTTCACACAAGACAGAGCAGAAGAAACTCTGCACTGAAAAGACTACCAGAACCTGCCTGAGAACTCTTCTTCTAAGTGTGTGGCTTCAATCATCAATCAGTTCCTCCGCTATCATACCCCTGAAAAAGGCAGATTCATGAATACGAAACCCTAAACAATAGGACTTTGCTTTAGCTCTCTACAGAAGGCTACTACTAAAACATAACACTGTATTTCAAACTACCCCTTGCAGCACGTGGTGAGTTAAACAACCATTCCTGGCAGCAGTGTAGATACTTAGCCCTGCAATCAGAAACCAGCTAACTTTAATCAAAACTGACACTCAGTGGTTCAAACACTGCTCAGCCAGCAGGGGACAGGGATGATCAGATGGAGGAAAACGTTTTGGGATGACCAGAAAGGAGTACAGACTTTCAGGACTCTTTCTGTCATAGCTCTGCCAAGATTATTGCAGCACTTGTTACTGCCCATGGCCACTGCTACAGACAACACAGCACACTACAGGTCATTTTGCAGATGATCCCCAATTCAGACAAGGTACCACCAGAGCTGCCTGAACAAGGCACCCCAAATAGTGCTTTGCACATCCAGAAACTCTGGCTGACAGCAGGGAAGAGGTTTCCTTTGAGCCAACCTCTTGTGGAGGTGAAAGAACTTCCCACATGGTCACACTCCAGCAGAATCCTTCTGCTCTCTCCAAAATCTTGTTAATATTTAGTGCTCCTTTAACAGTGTATTTCCCTTTAATTAAAGGAACATTAATTAAGCTGGGACCAAGTGTGCATTTCACTAGTCACTCTATCAGAAGGAACACAGAGCCAGCAGCGCCTTGTAGCGTGTCACTTCTAAACAGAGAAAGACAACTGCACAGATCATTATCTTCTAATTTGCCCATTCAACTGAATGAAGCCTGGTCCGAACCTAACACACTGCAGGAGGAAATACCACTGTCTGCCGGGTCACTCCTTTTAGGAAAGCCAAAGGAACCACCCTTTTGAGAAATACAACCCTAAAGATACTACTTCCTAAGACGTGCACACAAAGCAGCAAGCAACATGACATCTCCCTACTCTTCCCTGCAGATCATGCTTTTTACTCCATGTCAGGCTAGTCAGATGGATTCCTGAGACCGAAACAACTTCATTGCTCCTGGCCATCAGTGTGCAATTCTAGAGCAATAAAGTGTATTGTCTTAGGTGATAAACCATGTCTATAGACTGCTCCTATAGCAGAAACATTGGTGGGGTTGGGAAGACGTTGTGCTTTAAAGACATTGACTTGTGGCCAGTTTGGCAGCTTACCTTGTTGTAAGTGTAAGGTGTTGGAGAGGTGGGGATAATACCAGATTTTTCTTTCTGATGCCGTCTTTGTGCCTCCAATACCTGTTGCCATGAGAGGAAAAACAGAAAAAATCCAAAATACATCTCATCTACAGGCACCACAAATAGCAATGCCTATGCCAAAGATGCCCGATGCTTCTCCATTCAGTGGACTTCTTCCAGCTACTGAAGACTTTGCCAAAATCAAAGTGTTCTTCCTAAGAAAGACTGGAATTTTCTACATGGGAAAATCTCAGCTACAATATTTTGCTGCTTTGGATGAAAACTCCAGTTTTCCGAATTAAAGCCATTTGTTCAAAACCTCTAACACCTCCACGCTTTGGGACTAGAACCTAAGGTCTGTTTGGAGGGTAACCTTAGCTCTAGATGTCCCTTTTTGCCTCTCCCATGAACAAATCACATCAAATTTGTCCCTTGCTGATCAAATTGTGTTTCTACAAAAATCTCAGTTTAAACATGCTTGGGAAAAGCTTGCTGTGGGCTTGGTAGTTACAAACCCTGCCTGTGGTGCCCTTCACCAGCAGGCCCCAGCTGAAGAGGCATTTTCAGGGCACTCAGCTGTGGCCGCATGGTCTGATCTCTGCAAGCTCTCTCCCTAGTCATTAAAGGCTGCCGACGTGCCCGGTATTGCAGTTAAACATCTGTCTGCAGTTTTCCTTTCATTTCCTTCAGGACTCCAACACAAAGCACAAAAGAGAGTGGGGAAAACAGCACTACAAACCCCATCCTGCTGTAATGATAGATTCTGTCTCAATGCACACCGACAAAGGGGGCAAGCCAAGGTGAACAGGTAACCTTCTGGCACTGCCCTCTTGAGCAATTGCCCAAACAGAACCTTTTTGTTTCAGCATAGTCTTTTTTAATGTCATCTTAAGCAGGCCTGAGCTGGAAGAAGGATTGCAAAGCAGGGACTTCTCCAAACCAGCTGCTTTAATGCAGTTAAAAGCCAATTGCCCAAATCCTGGTGTAGTCTCACCAGTGGGATTTGGGCCTGGGAAAGTTCGGAGGCACCAGCAATCAGCCAGTGCTGAGAACGCAGCCTGGGAAATCTGCCTCTCAATCTCCTGCTGCAATCAGCAGATCACTGGGGCACTCCACCTTCAAAGGTGGCTACTGTACAAGATTCCTGTGCCCAGAAGCCCTTAAGAGGACAGTAAAGGCTTTTAAAATGACATGGTTATGGAGACATAGGCAATAAAGATCGTAATTCCCTTTTAGCCTAGAACTGTAATCGTTTGTTACCTGAGGTGCTACGTAATATGGAGTGAACTGTGGTGTCATCAAGTCACCTTGGTCTACTTTGGCAAATCCAAAGTCACACAATTTAACAGGAGCATCCTAAAACAAGGAGAAGAGGCTTCATTACAAAATCTCGTTGTATCAGCTTTTCTAATACATATTCCTCACCTTGTACTCACCTTACCTTTGCCACGTGTACTCCTCTTTTGTATTTATACCCTCACCATTCCACAGAGCAGCTAAAAGATCATAAACTGATCTTTGAAACAAGCATTTTTGTTTTCCTGGGTGCTCTGGGTCCAAAGCAGTCCCCCTCTCAGATTTGGAATGCACATTGTAGGGGTGTCACTGCATATGCAGGGTGGTTATGAGCAGAAGAATGAAAAGGGCAAGAGCTTGGATATGTTGAAGCATCTATAAAGTACGTTAGGACATCCTAACAACACCCAGGGAGCAAATGTGGCAGAGTGGATCTTCTCCTCAGCAAAACAGGATTCTATGCTGGGGTGCAGAACCTGAGCCATATTTAACAGCAGCAGCAGCACAGACTGTACTCCAAACACACCAGAGTACGGAAAAGCACAAAGTCAAAAAGGCTCCTTAATTTTTGTCACCAAAACACTGAACTGATGTCATTTTGCAACTATTCTGAAAACCACCATGGAGCCACTTTACAGAATTCAGCA